AGGAGGAGGGTATGGCCCGAGCCCAGGGCCCCACCAGCGCAGGTCCACGCCCGCTCCTCAGCGACATCCCAGCTCACGGGAGCCCTGAGGGGCCAGCGGTGTTGGGCCCAGGCCTCTCCCTCCCAGTCTTCAGGGCTCCAGAGGCTGCTGGAGCTGGGGGACACCAGGGGCTCCTACGTCCCCTGTCTGGGGACCAATGGCAGCCCCTGCTCCCCAGCAAAGTGCCAGGGCTCTGATGGCCACGGGGCATCGCAACCCCCGGTTCTCTCCGTAAGGCACTCGGCACACCCATGGGGCTCTGTGCTGTCCTGGTCCGTCCTGGTGCAAGGCGTTCCTGAGGGGCACCACATATGCGCATGCTGTCCCCAGGGCACCTGCCTGTCACCCCTTTGGGCCCAGCTTGGGTTCACATGGCCAGGGTCAGGGCCAGGCCCGTCCACGGTTCCAGAAAGGCCCAGGTCCAGCTTTGGGAATGTTTCCCTCCACGCAACCCTCAGGCCTGGGACGCAGGCAGCTATATCTCCTGGACAATGTCGCGGGCCCTGGAACATCCGGCCAGCCTGTCCTCCCTGCCTGCCCTCCCAGCTCCAGCCAGCGATGCCATCCATCTCTCGGGCAGTGGCCGGTGCTGTTGGAGGAGGCGCCTGATGTGGCCCCAGCCTAGGTGACACTCGAGACAGAGCCTGCGAGAGGCACGGCCCACACAGCCCTCAAAGCCCATCCAGCCTGGCCACAGCCCTGCCCGGTGTGGCAGAAGAAGTGGCCGGAGGTCCGGGCAGGTCTTCAGCCTCTGCCCTGCGTCCTTGCCTGGGGGAGAGGGCAGGCAACCAGACACAGTGCCACCTTCGGGGCTCAGGCTGGGGTCCAGGCGGCAGGCACAGCCCCCTAGCTCTGGGCTCAGACTCCGGCCCCCAGGACCTGCCTGAAGGGGGCTGGGCACGAGTCCTGGTCACTGCCTCTGTGCTGGCCGCCCCTGTCCCTGGTCCATCCCAGGCGGGCAGCCACCCAGCCAAAGACCCGCAAGAGCCAGGATGCCCAGGTGCCCTGGCCAAAGCCCCCGCCCGGCTCCCCTCCGGTCTGCCCCTCCTCCTCCAGAGACTGCTGCTGCCACCCCAGAGGCCAGGGCCGGTCCCACGGGGGCGTGGGAGGCGCAGGGGGGCGGGAATGTGGCCCTCTGTCCCCAGGGCTGGGCAGGCACCCACAGAGGACCCAGTGTGCCCAGACATTGGAGCTTTGTGCGCCCCGACGCGTGTGGGGCCGTTGTTTGCTTTGACCTGACGCTGTTTTGGGGACACGAAAGTGAGGGCGCACACCGGTGCCCAGGGCGGGCGCAGCCAGAGCAGGAGCAGGAGGTGACACGGGAAGGGGCTGCCGGCAGCGACCCAGGGAGGGAGGCTGCGGGTCCTGGTGGAGCCCAGGAGGGTGGGCCCAGCTGGCCAGATGTGGCGCTGAGATAAAGCTGCCGGGGCTGTGGGAGCAGGGCGTGAGCAGGGCGGGCAGCAGTCG